ACATGTAATGTTCTTTAACAGTTTGAAATTCTTCAAAAACTTGCCTTTTTAACAATTTTTGACAAGCTTATTTGATACTTTCCCAAACTTGTTTATAGTTATACTGGAATAGTGGACTGAACTCTGTCTCCAGCAGTGAAAGTTGGAGTTGGAGGTTTGATTGGTACATACTTCTTACTGAAAACTTGCGAAAACGTGATCACTTAAAATAAATTATGCTATACCAGTAATCTCTGTTTCAACTTTAACTGGAAGCTTTTATCAAAGACACAGTGCAGCTCTTCTTGTGGTGAGAAGATGTAAGAGGTACAGGCTATATAGCTTAGAATTTTTTTCTTGTTTTTCTCTTTGATCAAGGAAGCTGAACTTGTTAAAAGTTCTTAACATTAACAAATCAGAAGTGCAAAAGCAAAGATTTGCTAGTCACTGGTTAGTTGCCCTAATATATTATTTTGATCCTATTTTTCTTTCTTGTTGAAACCTACGTACCATCACCTATATTTTAAAAATATTATGCTATAAAATGTGTAGGGTATGCAGTGAGTGTTACTGTTGGAGGAAATGCAAATACTAGACTTTTTAAAATTTTTTAACTATCCCAACGCAGCATTTTATGATGTGATTTTGCTCTTTTAATCAGCTGTTTAAAACCATTTATAAGGTCCTTTTAAATAATACGAGAGAATGACATAGAAAAGCGAAGCGTTCTGCAAAGCCTACTCTGTTCTAAGGAGATACAGCTCTGTTGTCTTGTCAAAGAATGAATATGCCTCTAAAGAACATTTTATGTTTGAGAAAAAAAAAAAAAGTAATTATTTTTGAATTATATATGTTGGGGGGGTATTTGCCTGTACATGCTTAGGGCAGAATCTGACTCATAATTTCAATTTCTTAATCATAGTAACCTGGTAATAACACTAATAAATTACTGCTATGAGACACACAGGTTTTATTCAGTCATTCCTTTTTTTCTTGACACTGTATTGCTTTCCTTTTTGGTAGATAAATGGTCAGCAGTGGTCATATCTAACCTAGTGTCATCCTCTGCTAAGTGCAGCACAGTTGGTCTGGATACTTCATAAAGTCCGTGAGTCTGTTGACTTCAGTGTGTGATTTTTCGGCATGGTCCCCTTCCCCAGGTCTCCCAGCGCTGCTGAGGCCTCTGAAGTGGCTCACACAGGTGCTCCCAGGTTGTGTGATGTGAAAGGCAGATTGTAAAGGAACCTTTCCTTTATAAAGGAGAGGGGCTGATGTGATTCAAGAGGGACTAGAAAGGATTGAAGACTCAATTCTGAGCACAGTTAATCCTCTGACCATGGAAGTGCCCAACCCCCTGCCTACAGCCTTGCACTTCTGTCTGTCAAAGCCCAGGTCTTCCAAGCGTTAATTTCATGCAGTTTTCCCACTGCCCTTAGCAGACTAGTTATATGCTGGCAGGGAGCAAAACCTGAGAAGCTCTCACCCAAGTCAGATACTATTAAAAACCAGATGGGATGCTGTGCTGCTGCTACAGGGGCTCTCTAAAAGCCTTTGTTGCACTGCTGGCATGCCATGCACATGAGGAGGTGTTGTGTAGAGCCTACAGGATTGTTACTGCTCTTAAGCAGAGCTGTGGCTTACCATGTGCCTGCATGTTTGAAAAAACCACCAGGTACTTAGGCTTTTACCTCTTAGAATTTCTCATGCCTCATTCTAGTTAAACTCTACTTAGGTTTTAATGGACTCTGGATGGCTCGAAAAAAATAACTGGGCACTTATTTAAACTTTAATGTAAATGCTAAGGCAACCTAGATGAAGAGCTTCAGAAAAGATCTAAAATAACTGTAGCTTTCACCTGGTGCAATAGCACAAGTCTCTCACTCTATTACTGTTACAATACATGCGTGCAGTTGTCAGTTTTGGTTTTATCTAGCCCTTTCTTTAGGACTTACTGTTTTATTTATCTATAAAGTGTCTAGAACTCCTGCTGCTGTATAACTAATAAAATAATAATATGAACTGTGATTTTCATTGTAGGGTTTCGTATTTTGTTTGTTGCTTGAGAATAAATAATTAAGTACTAAGCTGTGAAAACTTGTTTAATTTTAGAAGTGAGGGATCATGCAAACCACAAGCCACATCTGCATCAGGTATTTAAACAAATACCTGTTTTATATGCTTTCTTTTTTCATATTTTTCTGGTTTATTGCATGCAAAGTGTCTGAAATTTAGTATTTTACAACTGCTGTGAAATCAGACTAAGCAGTATTTCAAACAGCTGCTGAGAGTAGCCTAAGTCCAAAATCGGAGCTTACGATTCTGAAGGAAATACTGGTAACAAACTTCCCCGTAGTAGCTTTGCTTTCAGTGTGAATTTTGCCTTGTATTGATTTTGTTTAGTGTTAAGAGTTCTTTCAAAAGTGCCACCGCTCTGTAATTGCTACCTGCTTCTAGGAAATGGGCTTCCAATGTCAATGGAAAACTTTAATAACCGTGTAATCATGTCTATGGATCTACATCTGGATGTTGGAAATGCTGATTGCTGAGTCACTGTTTTAATCAATAGCACAAGACTCAGAATCCAGGCATCTTTTTGATATCCTCATTTAGCGATTTCCTTTTGAGCTGAGAGTACCTGTCTTAGTTTCCTAATCTTCCCCCTTACTAGAGGTACCAACAGTTATGGAAACACTTTCCTAGCAGTGTTATTCCTTGCTGGAATCCCTATAGCATTACAGTTTGAGATTGATAGGCAAGTGGAAGTTTTCACAAAAACATTTAAAGTAAAATTTTGTACTTAATAATAACGTTGGAAAGATTGCCAGCTGCTTAGTTAAGACCACCTTTTCAAACTTGGCTCCCAAATTAAATTGCTTCTTTTTCGATTTGAACTTTCTCTGCTTGGGGATGGGAAGAAGGGAGGAGGGAACGTTTGCAAGGAATAGTTAATTTTACTGGTACCTGTCTGCCTGTAAAATTGCTTTAGAAGCTAGAGCCCTATTGCTTGTTTGTATTGGTACTAGGCACTGAAATAAGTGGAAGACAGGTGGGTTTGGAGTTCTTTGTTGTTATTTTTTAAGAGATTCAGTGTTTTATTTTGGAGCATTTTTATTAGATTTTCCTTTATGTGTTTATGCCAGTATCTTGCTGAAAGCTAGTAAATAGGTGATGTCTAAGAAATGGGTAAAAAACCACGGACAGTAGCAATGTGAATGCGTATTTTGGAGTTGAACTTTGCATTGGACAGGTATTGACTCTGCTGCACTAAGCATGATGGGGCAGGGAGTAGGCCTGCCTTGTGTGCCAGCTGCCTCTGTGCCTGGGACTTGCAGTCGAGCCCCATCACCAGTCTGCTCGCCTGGCCTTTAGCAGTGCACTGACTTGAAACAGAATACTTATCAGTTATCTTTTGGCTTGTTAGGCTTTAACCTAATATCCCTACTGATCATTATTTTTTACTTGTGGATAACATCGGCTTTTGATTTGGTACTCAAAATGGAGATCAGGCTTCAGGTCTTCTAATATTCTGGGAAACAAGTGCAGTTCTCTGTTCTGGTATTCCAGTCAGAAGCCACAACTGAAAGGAAGAGCCACTTCAGTGCATAATGGTACTCCTGGGTGCTGCTGAATGGACAAATCATGCTTCCTTTAATTAAGAAGTGATAATATCACTCTTCAGTAATGGGTCTGAACGTTACTGTCATCTAGAATGAAATTTGCTTAAAGTAAAAAAATTGCTCCAGCTTTGCAGTTTTGATTCTGTTACTGCGGTGACTATAGTGAATGTTTTGTTCAACAGTTTTGTTGCTTCCGTATATTCAAAAATAATCAGTTATTGCTTTAGTGTCAACAAATGTCACAACTTTTGTTCTTGAACAGTTTGAAGTGAACATGATTTTTTTGTTCTTATGTGTAACTAACAAAAAAAGTTAGCAATTGCTGTAACTGCAGCTCCATTAAAGGCAAAGGGAATTGTCAGAATATCCAAGGGTACAATTTTGCTTTAAAGAATTATTGTGTTAACTTGATTCAATAAAGTTCCAGATTTGTGACTTTAAAGCTAATTAAAACAGGAATAGTCTCATGTTAGAAAATACTACTAAATATTGAATGTGTGAAGTATAAAATAGAACTCAGTGTTACAGAATCTCTCATGCAGTTAGTAATACAGTTTAGTGTTTTGGAACATCTTACATTTGTTTTCTTAAATGCTTTTAAATGAGAAAACTTTTAAAAAGAGGTTTCTGATCTTCTAATAAAAAGTTTTTTCTAATGTTTGGAATTCCACCTTTAATTGTGAAGAATGTTCTCAATTGCCATTAAAAAGGAGGATGGAAGATATATGTCACAAATAATGAACTTATGTCACCATATGAAACATACGGAGGGAAAAGAAAGACAATAGCACAGTCTTTCGATGTGAAAATCATTACAGGAAATATGCAAATTTATTTAGGATAAGTAATCATAGATTAAAGAAGATCTAAACCTCTTGAATCAGTTACCACAGTCTGACTTGCTCCTATTTTCTCATAGAAGGATTAGGGCTTTTTTTCTGTCAGTTATTGCTCTGGTAATTTTTCCAGAATAATTTCCTTTGTCCCTTTAATGTCTTGATAATTCATGAGGAAAAAGCTCATAATTAATCAAAAAGACATCATTAGAAGTGCAACACACAGTCAATGCTTTAAACTACAGTGGGATGCAGAAAATACTGATCTGAGGGAGAAACAGCAAACAACTTAGACCAATACATGTGCTTGGGAGGAGGAGCTGGAATTCTTATGGTAAATCAAGTCAATTAAAATGGAAAGTGTGCCCAAGAGAAGTAACTGGTTCTTTCATGTAAGTATGTGGGGAGGTGTGAGATATACTGCATTTCCCTTCAGCCCCAATAACTGCTTCAGACAGCTACTTGTATGAGTATAATGGTTGTTGATGTTTTCCAGATAGATACTATAATAGTTAAATTAACAGTTGAATAACCTATTCAGTGCTTCTTTTATTTTGCTTTTCTGTAGACAAAACATGGATGCACACTCCTGAAGCCTTATCAAAGCATTATATTCCCTATAATGCGAAGGTAAGAAAATATGAAGTTATTTGTCCTCTTACCTTTAGAACAACACATTCTATCTTGCTTTTCATTTGAAAACTGCAGAGACATGAATTAGCCAAATGAAATAGTGAAGAAAAACTTAGTAAATCTGTTTTGCAGGTGAAAATTTTCTATTTCTTAAGTAATGGCCAATTAATTCTTGTTCTGAATTATTTGATGCTTTTCTAGAAAGCAAACCAATGTTCCTCTTCTGCTTGATGCTCTGTTTCCTTTTAATAGATGCTAAATGGATGGAAATTTTAAGTGGAATTTAACATCAGGTTGCATTCTTACAGTACTATAAAAATTAAAATTAATAGCACAAATTTCTTTTGAACAATAGCAAAGGCAATGAGTAATTATCCTATCTGCTGGATATATTGAAATGTCAAATACTCTGGAAATACGATGGAATAATAATGAAATTTTTTCAGTGTAAAACGTCTTACTCATGCTTTCTTATCCCAGTTACTATGTAGTTCTACAATAGTATTTCAGTTAGTCTAATGAATCTCTTCACAGGAGATGCATCTTCCTGAAATAACAACTTAGAAAATGGTTTGCTAAAAGGAGGAGGTAATATTCAGTAATAAGCATAACTCAGAGTAAACTGAGTAATTGAATGTTACTTGCCTGAACTGGGAGAGTAATTCAGTAAGATTCTACCCTGGTCTGTTCTGGATAAAGTTCTCATATGATTGAAATATTTTAATATAAAAATAAAAAATATTTCACTGGCTGGGACTCAGTTTCCTACACTGGTATTCTCTGCTGTTGTGTTTGCAATTTTCTTTTGCTTAGTATTGCCACATAGTGAGCAAGTGTCTGTAGTGGAAATTTGAGTCTCGCTCTGCTAGTTGCCAGGTGAACGTGTTTTTCTTCTGCGTGCTCTCAAACTGAATTTTTGACCAAAGGATGTATTACCATTTAACTGTATAGCCTTGCCAGACACCTTGGCTTTTATATTACAGTTTTTGAGAGGAAGGAACATTTGCTGGGGTGACAGTGACATCTATTTTAAGAGCAAGCTGAAGCTATGAATCCTGTTAATGCACTGAACAATGTCCATTCATTTGTGGTCTTTTAAAGAGGAAAAAAAAAAAGTTCCTTGTCTTTCTTAAAAGCATATCTCATGAAGAGATGTCAGTACAGCTATACAGAAAAATTTTTTAGAATAAAGAAGATGGTGATAAGATGGTGATAACTGTAGAAACAACAGCATCAACAACTTCTGTGGGAGAAAAAAGGGATAGGGAATTTTGATCCAAGGAAGTCTGTCTCGGACTTATTAGAAAGACTCTTGGTCCAAAAAAGTCTTTCCTTTTATTTAAGCTAACATATGCCCAAGTGTCCTCTCCAGTTCTGCTCCTCTTTAATGTGGGTTCTCATCTCACAGGGCCTCCTCAACCTCAGTGCTGTTGCTTTAAGCTCTGTCAGAATACTTGCAGGAAGCTGCAATGTACTACAGCATATGTGTTTATAAAAAAAAGTTACCGATTTTTTCATTTGGATCACAGTAAAAAATTGTTATTTAGAACTGTCATTTATTTGATTTATTATTTCAAAGCTAGTATAAAATTGTTCTGCTGTGTAACTGGAGTGTAAAGGGTATGGGATTTCCACATCACTCTTTTTATTGAGACCTGGCATAAATTTGCACAACTTTTATAAAGTTAGCTGCCATATGCAGACATAACAACATTATTAAATGTAGATGATGTTTCCGCCTCAGTTCTTAAGTACCGTTTTCATTCTTTTGCAATGTTTTTCTTTTTAAGAGGAAAGCATGTATCATTAATACCTCATTTGGGTTTTGTAACATTTTGATTTTTAACTAAAATATTCCATTGATTTCATATCTTGTAACTACATTGTGAAATAATGATTAAAAGCTCAGAAGGCATTTATAAAGCAAGTATTGAAAAAGACTCATTGATTTGTTTTTCAAAATGTTCATACTGTCCCACTTCTATTCATATAACTTTTTTATTTGTTGGGAGGAAAAACCAAGACTTTATCTGATTTATTTCAAAAGGTAATTATGTGAGTGAAGAATGCTATGTTCAGAAAACCAACTCAGTTTGATGGAAAGCAATACCAAAGATGGTCTTTTTCCATCAGCAACTGAGCTGTATTCTGCTACATCATTTTTTGAATGCAAATTACCACGGATGAAAAAGTGTTTTCTCTTCCTTATAAGACACAAGAATTGTTTCTCTGACACTAGTCTTCTGAGATGACCAGAAAAAGGAGAGCTTACTAAAAACAACGGGAAAAGATGGGATTTTGTTTGTTTATTTGATTCCTGAGAGATGTAAAAGAAAGCTTATTCATAAAATGCAGTTCATGAGTTGACTTTTATCCTATTTTAAAAAATCCTAGCAAAGTTAACTGGAAATTAAAAGAACCTTGCAATATAGACAACTGTCCTTTTTTCTACAAAATGGACAGGACTTTTTAATCGAGAATTAGTAATGTCTTGTCCTTTGGGATATATACGCTCAGGATGATTTATGGCAATAATCGTCGTTGCAAGAAAACACAGAGTTGTTTCTTCTGGAAGTAAAATCCAGGAGCCACAATCTCATAAGGATGCCCTTAAATATAAAAGCATCTTAATTCTCTTCTTTACAGTATACCCAGTCCTCATGGTACTTGCTATTTTGAAATTTGCTAGGTTTTGATGTGGTTTGCTGTATGGCATCAGTTCATGGGGGTCTGAGTTTTGGGGTTTTTGGGTTTGGGATTTTTTCATGGTTTTTATTTGTTTGTTTTTTGTTTTGTTCATACTGTTGTTGTTTTGTGTTTGTGGTTTGGCTTTTTTTTTTTTAATCTTCTGGTGTCTCCAGTCTTGGCCTTCCTGAAGGCACTGATAATAAGTCTCCACACACTTCATTGCACTCTGGAGGTGAAATCTGGACCTACTGAAGTCAGAATTTTGCTGTCAGTTTGTGATCCTATATTTTTCCTTGAATATATCACTCCAAATGAAAGCATATTGGTGACATAGACAGTGGGATTGAGTACACCCTCAGCAACTTCAACAGTTGACAGAAACACCAAGCTGAGTGGTGTGGTCGACACACTGGAGGGAATCATAGAATCATAAGGTTGGAATAGACCTCTGAGATCATCAAGTCCCAACTGTTGACCTAACACCACCATGCCAACTAAACCACGGCTACAAGTGCTACATCAACACGTTTTTTGAACACCTCCAGGGATGGTGACTCCACCACTTCCATGGGCAGCCTGTTCCAATGTTTGACTACTCTTCCAGTAAAGGAATTTCTCCTAGTGTCCAATCTAAACCTCCCCTGGTGCAACTTAAGACCATTCCCTCTTGTCCTATCCAGGGAGACCATGACAGGCTGGAGATGTGTGCTTGTGCAAAGCGCATGAATTTCAGCAAGGCCAAGTGCAGGGTCCTGGGATGAAGGGGATGGGGGGTGAAGGGATTGAGAACAGCCCTGCCGAGAAGGACTTGGAGATGTTGGTTGAGGAGAAGCTCAACATGACCAGGCAATGTGCAGCCAGAAAGCCAACAATATCCTGGGCTGCATCAAGAGAAGTATAGTCAGCCAGGGAGGTGATTCTCCCCCTCTGCTCTGCCCTGGTGAGACCCCACCTGCAGTGCTGTGCTCAGCTCTGGAGCCCCCAGCACAAGAAAGACATGGACCTGCTTGAGTGGGTCCAGAGGAGGGCCACAAAGATGATCAGGGGGCTGGAGCACCTCCTCTGTGAGGACAGGCTGAGAGAGTTGGGGTTGTTCAGCCTGGAGAAGAGAAGGCTCTGGGGAGACCTTAGAGCAGCCTTCCAGTACTTAAAGGGGGCCTGCAGGAAAGGTGGGCAGGGACTCTTTACCAGGGAGTGTAGTGGTAGGGGGAGGGGGGACAGTTTCAAACTGAAAGAGGGGAGATTTAGATGAGATATTAGGAAGTTGTTCTTCACTATGAGGGTGGTGAGACGCTGGCACAGATTGCACAGAGAAGCTGTGTGTGCCCCCTCCCTGGCAGTGTTCAAGGCCAGGCTGGATGGGGCTTGGAGCAACCTGGTCTGGTGGAAGTGTCCCTGCCCATGGCAGGGGAGTTGGAACAACGTGATCTTTAAGATCCCTTCCAACCCAAATCATTCCGTGATAGTGTTCACGTAACTTTTTTTCCAAAAAGATCATTTAGAATCTTGATAGTGTATTATCAAATGTGGGGGTACAGGACTCATTTAGATGTAGTAGCATGGCAATTTTCATGTTACTGGATATAAAATGCGAAGGCAAACCAAAATTTCTCTTTTATCTCATCTTCTTTTTTTTTTTTATATGATGTTCCATAACTAAGAACAGATGTTTGTGTTATTTTCCATATTG